TAGAATTCCATAACTTTTAGTACCCTTTAGGTATCTGAAAATACGTTTCACTGCTTCCCAGTGCTGCTTTCCTGGATTTTCCAAATATCTGCTAAATCTGCTCACTGAGAATGATATATCTGGACGAGTGACAACCGCTAAAAACATGAGACTTTCTATAGCTTCTCTGTACGGAATATTTTACATATATTCTTTTTCTTCCTCATTTTGGGGTCTTTGAGCTGCATTCAGAATAACATTTGGATCGGCTGGTATTGTATTCGATTTACACTCTGACATTTGAAATTTTTCTGAACATCGCTGTACGTATCCTTGTTGACTGATGAATATTTGGTTTTTGCTTCTATTCCGACTTATTTCCATACCAACAAAGTATTCAGCATTACTCGTAGTAATTTCAAAACACGAAGCTAATTTTTCTAAAATCATGTTGATAACATTCAATGACGTACACAAGACATGTCCGTCACCAACATATAAAGCAAGAAAAATTTTGAAACCATTGATTTCACTTCGAAATACACATCTTTCTGCTTCTAAGTGTTTGAAATGAGATGATGTCAAAAACGTTACAAATTTTGAGTTCCAGTAACGAGAAGACTGTTTCAGACCATTTAGACTCTTGTTCAGTTTACACACTAAGGAATTATCTTCCGATAATCTAAATCTCCATTCAGAAAAGCACTTTTGATGTCAAATTGTCGAATTTCCATGTCAAGTGTAGCTAATATGGCCAGAAGTATTCTTAACGAGTCATATCGAACGACTGGTGAAAACGTTTCAGAGAAATCAATGCCAGCTACTTGAGAGTACCCTTTTGCACACAGTCTCGCCTTATAACGTACAATAGTTCCATCGGGCTTGCATTTCACTTTGAAACCCCACTTACATCCNAGGAAGTCCAGGGACACCCTGTATATATATATGCATTTAGGTTGCATACGCCTCCGAACATAATATGTTCCGGTTGTGATGGGCTCCGTTTTTTCCAGTTCGCCTCCGATTTCGGAGGTGAAAGCGTTTCGTCAGTTTTTCGACTCTATTAAGGCGGGTCCAGACATGTATCATTTGCCCGATCCGGTCACCGTATCCGATCACCGTATCTCGATCGATAAACATGTCGTCTCGATCAAACATGTCATCGCAGTTGGTTGAAGTGTACGGGAATTTAGAAATTTCATGTGTCTGTTTTATTGTCATTCACAATATTCTTATCTCAAAACCAAGACAGAGACGGTGGTGGCAAACGGAATTATTTAGAAACAGAAACAAACTTGGAGGAAGAGCTTTGATGAGAGACCTAAGATTTCAACACATCAGTGGTAAATACAAAAACTTCACCCGTATGGCACCTAATGACTTCGAATATTTGATAAATTTGATTGGCCACAAAATTAAAAAAACCGATACTACATACAGGAAAGCAATTTCTGTTGAAGAAAGATTAAGTATCACTTTGAGATTTTTAGCCAGCGGAGATTCCTATACAAGCCTACAATATTTATTCAGAGTTTCTAAACAATCGATAAGTGTTATAGTTCCAGAGACCTGTCAAGCTATCGTGGAGGCATTAAAAGACAACATCAAGGTAGGATATTTTTTATTATAGACAAAATTGTTTATTACTAATAATTGATGTCGTGGATCAGTTCACGAAAAGAATCTTCGGAATCCATGGACGAATCATCCACTTGAGTCACTGGAGAATGATTCATTTCTGGAGTTGGAGAATTATTGATTTGTTGTACTTGATTTTCAGTCATGTACGGGGCTAAACTTTGTGCTCTGTTTGAAGAAGACGAATTTACAGACATTTGTGGAGGTCTAGTCTCAGCCATGGGATATGTAGATGCCAGAGTGGAGTTCCCGCGCTGATATTCATATTGTCCACAATCAGCGTTATATAGGATGTTGTTTATTTGATGTTCCACAGTCATGTAGGTTGGCTTTGAATAACCCCTAAATTTGCCTGCCAAATAATTAGCGTATAGCTGATACTGGTCTAATCCAGTAGCGGGTAGAGTCGAAGCAGTAGCTACCGCTTTAGCAGCTGAAGCTGAAGATTTCAGCAAATCAAATGCCGATTGCAACATTGGGTCCTGGTTCGCAACGTATTTTCTCTTTTTAGGAAGTGGAGATTTGAATTCCGATGCTGATGAATTCTTTGCATTATCGGTTGTTTGGTCCGATTCAGTGCTCGCGGTGGAACGGGGTTGTTTATCTTGTGACTGATTATGATCTTCCCCTATGTGATCATTTTCCTCATTTTCAGATGTATTATCCTTCGAAGCGCGGTCTTGGCCTTCCTGCAAACAAAATAAAATAATTATAATATATTTGTTACAGATGCCTACATCGCATCAAGAATGGGAGGAAATCAGTTCCGAGTTTCAAAACTGTTGGGATCTTCCACACGTGGTTGGTGCTATGGACGGGAAACACATTATGTTGCAGGCACCTATCAATAGCGGATCGGAGTTTTATAATTATAAACAATTTTTTAGTATTGTTATGTTCGCTTTAGTTGATGCTTCATATAAATTTATATTTGTCGATGTAGGGTGTCAAGGGAGAATTTCTGATGGAGGTGTATTTAATGATTCCATTCTCAAGAAAAAAATTTCAAACAACTCATTAAATCTTCCATCTCCGAAACTATTAGAAGGAACAAATAACATTATACCATACTATTTTGTAGCAGACAGTGCATTCCCGTTAGGTATCCATATTATGAAGCCATATCCAGGAGTACATCCTAAACGATCATTAAAAAAAAAATTNAGCGTTTGGTCAGTTTTTCGACTCTATTATATTATTAATGGTATTTTTCATCATTTGGGAACTTTTTGTCCGGAGGTGAAAATGACCAGAAACATGTACATTTATATTCTATAGTTGAATCAACTATTGGTAGAGGGCGCTAATTTTTATACAGATGTATAATTATACCATGCACATGTTTCAGACGGCTCCTTGCATTACACGTACTTATCGACCTCACCACATTGGCACCATCGCCGGAGGCAGTTTTCATTCTTATATATACATATAAACAGTTTTTCCCATATCGAGCCTCCGTTGAAAGTTTGAGGTGGAATTGTAAAAAAATTGTTCATATAAAAGTTGCACTCGCAATGCACTAGGCTTTTTTAATTATTTTTCAATAAACAGGATACCCGATAGAAGCATGACATATCAAAGTTAATTTTTTTTAAATGAAATGCTTTTCATATTCGGATTCCACCAGGAAAGTACTTTTGAAAAATATTGAATCATATGGGTATACACTGAGTTGAGAAGTTATGCCAAAAATAATGTTAAAAAGTTTTTTTATTCAACCGTCACTATTTTCAGTGAAAACTCATTCGAGGACTGTATTGTCGTGAAGATTTTTGAAAAATATAGTTTTTCCATTATGGAAAAGTAATTTGACCACACTCTTTTTCTAATACTGGATAAATCAAAATATGGAAACTTTTTTTTTCTCTTGATTTTCCAAATGAATAATAAAAAAAATTATTCAAAATGTGATTTCTCCTTCAATAGCGCTTTTTCAAAATATAGGGTTATATTCGTAAATACCTAGTGGTTCGAACGTTGTAACAAGAATAGTTCAAAGTTCTAGGCATAAACTTAGAAATCTAAGGAAATGAACTTTAAACGTTCAAGCCAGTCTCGAATATACCTACACAGTAGGTTGAATGGACTGACGCCTATCGGAAAACAACTACTCCCCTGGCTAATACAACAAAAGTAGTTGGATTATATCCGACAGGCGTCAGTGCAGGAATCTTCACAGAAAATTTCCTGCATATGCAATTGGCAATACANCATTTCATTTTTGAGTGTAAGAATTATAAATGAATGTTTTTATCCGAACCCAGTCAAGATTATGTAATACTTTATTGTTTGTATTTATTAATTTTTCGCATTCTTTTTTTCTTGGAGCTCTTTTATTCGTAATGTTATTTTTAAAATATAACAAAACAATATTTTTTTGTTCCTGAGTTCATTTCACCCTATAACTTTTTTTGTTTTTTTTTGAAGGGTTTGAATCAGAAGGATCCTCGTCACTAGATGACGAATGGTGTTCTTCTTCAATGTGCTGTTCGACAGTTTGAAGTTTGGCGTTTCTTCTCGTTTCAAATGGATTTGCCTCTTTTTCATCTTCACATATTGCTAAAGTTTCATTTGGATCAATATCGATATTTTGTAGCTGTTTATTTTTGTACTCTGCTCCTTTTCCCTGATCGAATAAGTTTAGTAAGGTTGCTACTTTAGCTGTTTGATATGCATTTTGAGTTATTTCATAAAATTCTTGATGGGTTTTCACAGTATGGCCCATAAATTTAGCGAACTGAGAGTACTCATTTTTATCCAGGTTCATGATTTGCATAAGTGTGGCGATTTGCTTTCTCAGTCGATTTGAACTCATGGCTTTAGGGTTGTCAATTCCAGAGCTCTTAGCTAACTTTTGTAGAACAACGTCCCCTCTTATCCATTTATCTGCTACCCCTGGGTAGGCGAACAAATGAGGGTTCTGAATTGGAACAATATTCGTTTGATTTCTTATTTTCAACAATAAATTTATATATTGTTGAACAACTGGTGGAAATAAGATTATTATGGCTCTGCTCCCTTTACCACCTGCTGCAACACGTTTGTAAGTAGAGGTTAGACTTTTTTCTGATTCACTCAACTGGTCTAAAAATTCAGTCAAATCATCAACCTCACAATTTTTCAAATATTCACTTATAGCCACATATTGTACGTCGCCAATTCTTCTACGATTGAATAAAATCGTGAATGATAATGAAGCTTCTACTAATTTTTTGTAGGCCTTAACATCAGTCTGTTTCCAATGCAACTGCACTTTTCGTAGCGATATCCAAAATATGGTTTCTAAACTTTGTGAATGTCTCTCGTTAACGGTAAAATCATAGGTTTATTCCACTTCTTTTCAGCCAAGTCTTTCAGTGCCAAAGATGACATTTCATTTTTCCATTGAGTTTGTACCAAAAATCGAAATCTTTTTATTTCTTTTAATCTTTCTTCAAGATTACTACATTTGATTTCCGGAGTATTTTTGAGTAAAAGATGAGTGGTCAGCTCACATGTTTCTTGTAAGGTAGTTCCCAAATGTAAAGCTAAACTTGGAGACGTGAAATTTTTCTTTTCTTCATTATAACCGCTGATTGCTTTCGCAGATAAAACAACGTCATCAAATAGAACAGGATTGAGAATCTCGAAAAAAGAAAAGTTAGGCTTTCCAGTTCGCCGACGTATATCAATAAGTAATCTGGCACATTCCCGCATTTTATTAAAACAAGCTGTTGCAATTTGAGCACGTTTATGTTTTTTTAAATAATATTCACCAAAGTTGCGAATTATTATATCTTTTCTCGCTAGAAAGCCAATTTCGTCTGAAGCCATCTTAGTGAAAACTTCATTTCTAACTCTCAAAGTCGCATTCATATTTGCATGTTGAGATGCACAAGCAACTAAGGTCTGGGAGGCTGCTTGATGACGTACGTTCTGTCCAGTATTATTAATGGGTTTAACTATACATTTTTTGAAATGCCTTCTCAAATATTTTGCCGAAATTATTTTCTTACAGTGTGAACATGGTAATCGCTCTAAGTTGATATTCTCATCCTGAACGTATTTTTCGAAATGTATTTCATATCGAAGCAGAGCTAAAATATTTCTTCTCATTTGTTTACCTTCTTTCGTATTTTTTGGAAAATTCAAATAATCTTGAACTTTTTTTTCTTCTACATGGTGTCTAACCAGATGACGTTCAAAATTGGTTATATTCATTTTACAGAATTTGCAAACTGTTTTGTTTTTTTCGGTTTTTTAAAGTTTTTTATCGAAATATTGGGAAACCAATGACTTGTTGTGGGTAATAATTTCTTCTGTATTTGTCGCCGGTTGAACGATTTCTTGAGTACAGGAAGTAGTACATGGCACTATTGTATCGGTAGTATTTGAATTCAAAGTGCTCAAGATTTCGGTTGTAACTAAGATTGGTTTAATAAATGGTGTAATCATTGAATTATCGCTTGATGATGTAGCGGGAGAGGAAACAACTTCCTTCTCGATGTCAGTTTGAAGAGGAAGTAGTTCATGTAGCATATTTTCCTCTATAGCTGTTTCTGTTTCCACATAATTTACTTTGTTTGCGATTTGTTCAGAATCTTCGTGAAGCAACCAGTCCCATGTTTGGTGATTTTTTGTGTTTTCAGATGTGTAGATTGGGTCATTAGAGTCTGAAAAACTACTCCATATGATGGACGGATCCTTTTCACAAGTATCATCTGTAAACAACAAGCAATGAACTGAATAGTTATTGGGAATAGTATATCAAACGTATGTCAAAATGAAATATCAGAAATATCAATTGTATATCAGAATTATTCAAATTACTATTCAATAATATTTCACTGAATTTTTTTATCGAAATGAAAGGAATTAACATGTAATTTGTTAAGTTGAGGTGTACAGACTGATTCATGTAAAAGTAGAAATGATTCGCAAAACATGGTCGTTTCTATAAATAACTGAGAATTCTCAATAAAAAACATTAACAAATTGTAAGTCCCAAACAGAAATAAAATATTTGTCTTGTTATTTTACCTTCATTTTTAGGATTAGGCTTTGAATCTAAGGTCATCTGCAATATTTTAGATGCACTGGAAATAAAAAATCAGGATCAGAGAATTTCAGCAACTAAATCAGGAACGTGATATGAACTCAAATTCGAGAACAAAACAGCGCCGTTATCAGGAATTGTGTTATTTCNAAATAAAAAATCAGGATCAGAGAATTTCAGCAACTAAATCAGGAACGTGATATGAACTCAAATTCGAGAACAAAACAGAGCCGTTATCAGGAATTGAGTTATTTCAGAAAAATACAAGGTCCGGTCGATTTTTTGCCACTTTCACTCCCATGAGAGGTTGACAACTACATACAATTTTTCAAATGTTATTGGACTGGCGTAATATATTGATATTAAAGGCATGGAAATTTCATTTGAAGTAGTTTTTGAATTTGTAAATTAGGAAAAATATTTAATCAAATAGTTACGTTTTGAGATTTGAATTTGCTCAGCTACTCACTTACTAGGCACTTATTCAAACCATTCAATCTACCTCTTTTCCCAACCAGATTAGGATCTTTTCGAACAAAATCGTTGTTTCAATTCAAACATTCAATCATCCAAGTGATACGCAAAAGTAGCTCCAAAGAGAATTTCAATGGCCTCGAAACAATATCTTACTCACCCCCAATGCTCTTTAAAAATTTTTGTATTGATGGTTACCCTCGCTCAGGTAAGTCCTAACAACGTTTTTCCTAAATCGTGACTTAGTTCCTGATCATAGGTCAGTTTCATTTTAATTTTGCCACATAAAATTCATTTCAATCATATTCATTCAGCAGATTAAAGTGATTCTCCATTGATTCTTTATCAAAACTAGTCGATATGAATTTTGATGTGAATTGTGAAAATCGTGTATTCCATCCAGAGTTTAGACATGGAAGTTTTTCAT